AGACCTGCTCTGCGCCTTCCTTGCAGCACCAAACACGTCGTAACCAAATGGGAAACGGGAATTCCATCGCCTGCGCTCTGTTGTACATTCCTCTCACCTCACGAGTGCGAGACTTCGTTTCTTGTTTTCTGACCATTTCTTTGCTCCCTTCCACGCTCTTGAAAGCGGCTTAGTAGATTCGCTACGAAGGACTTGGAACCGAGCAGCAGAATCAACAGCATTACATCATCTGCGGAAGGCGACTCTGGACACCAGCATAGCGTCAGATGCAGCGGTGGCAGCAACAGCACGCCTTGGAGATGTAAAGTGCATCTGTTTAGGGTTCATGTTATTGGAACAAGCAGGTTACCAGTTAGTAACCAACACCAGACCAACCACAGCATGACGACCTGCGATACCAGCAGCACCCACCAGCACGACTGGAAGCAGCAGCGATATCCGCTACATGGTTATCGTCAGGGCATCACCGTCGCCATCATCGTCCTCGCAGTTTCGCCGCTTCCATTTCTGCCTGAAAGCCGTGCTGCCAAGGTCAAAAGCGATCAATGTAAGAAGCTCCAAGTATGGCATGTGTCCACCTGGCCGACCCTCCCAAACACCGCTATCCCAAGACTTTCGAAAGACTAATATCGTGTATATTTCCTCTCACTCTCCCTTCCCCCCCCTGTTCATCATCTACAAAACCTCCCTCCCTTTGCTCGCGCTTTCTCTTAAGAGAGTGGGCCTCCCGCCGCTGACAGCCTGTCGATCTCGCCAATGCTTATGGCAAATTATTGACGATGCGGTTCCGTTTTGACTCAGAAACGAGTGATTCTTTAGTGGTTGTTTTCTAAGCATGTGTTTCTAATAGACATTAGTAGTTTTGCTGTTAAATGAGTTTATATATTTGAGTTTATCTGCCACTGGTCTTTGATTTAAATCAGAGCGCCGGAGTTTCTTTCCATGAGTTCAGCCCTCGCAGCTTGAGTGGGAACAGCCACCGTGAGCGATGCTGTGTGATTCCTTGAACCTCTCACAAGCGTTGTGGCCTTCCGAATAATTTGGTGACAACGGAGGTTGGGTGTAGGAGAAGAGCTTGTTTTCACTTATAACTGAACCATCAAAACTGCTCAATCAGCCGCAATGTGCTGAGCTGCTGTCAAAACTCGCAAGGAGCTGTCTGTGAACCGGCAAGCCTTGGGACAAAGTCGGACACAACCCTTCTACCATGTTCTGCAAGGATAACTAGCGAGGGGCGAGTGCGTCTTTCTCTCGCTGCACTGCGTGCCTGAAAATCTCAATACTTGTTCCTCTCTCACACTTTCGCCTTTTCCTTCTTGCTCTTTTGCACACGTTCCTACAAAACCCCCACCTCGCACACTTTCTCTGTGTTTTAGAGAGTGGGCGCCTTCGCAGCCACTCTCGGACAGGAAAAGGGCCGTTATCAGCCAGTTGCACCCCCTCTCCCACGCCATGCTTCCCCCTCACCCACGCCATGCTTCCCCTTTCTCCCACGCCCCCTATGTGCCTCTTCCTAATCGACCACTCTGCAGAAACGCGGGTAGTTCAGAGGCGCAATGGTAGCCTTTTCATCCTTTGTACAAGCCCACACGTGTCACATCACTTCTCCCTCTCCAACCTTCCTCTCACCCGGCCCCTTTCTCCACCTCACCCCTCCTCCCTTCCCCCCCCCCCCACCCCTCTCTCCCTACGTCACTTTCACCCTTTTCCCATGTTCTCCGCAAATAAGCAGGTGTGGCGCGTGCATGTCTCTCGCGTTGCACTGCGTGCTTGCGAGCACCGCCCATACCATGATCCGGCCCGCGTGCGGCGTGGCCCATCCGCCTTCCCCCGTCCACCCGGCTGGGATTCCTGTGGTTGAGGAGTGGGCGGAGCGTGTCCCTGTCACCCTGTGTCTGCGTTCCTTGGATCTAGCATCCCTCGCATACACGATGCTCCCTTCATATTTCCCACGCCAGGACTGTTACTTTCCTGCTACTAGCGAAAAGCATTGCCTTCGTGCCGCCTTCCCCCTTCCACGCCAGGTACACAGGAGCTGAAGCGCAAGAGGGGCATGTCTGTCGCCCTTTTATGGAACTGCGTCTCTTTGAAGGGATAAAATTGTCAAGCAAGTTGCTCCCCTCCCTTGCTCCACACCAGGGTTGGTCCTCCAGGAGCTGAAGCAGGAGTGGGGCGCGTTCACAGGCAGTGCGACGTGGTTACCTGACAGTGACTGTGGCATCTTCAATTCCGTTACTTGCAATAGCTATGGCGATGTCACTGCATTGTGAGTCAAGCTAATGACTCTCTGCTGAGTCGCGGCGTCCTGCTGTTGCCAATGGTTATTACAAATGCTTTTCATGTCGGTCTTTCCCCTGCCTAGTGGGAGCCAAATGCACTTTCTCCACGGACCCCACAACCCCCAAAACCCCCCCACCCCCCACCTCCCCCCCTTCCCCCCCACCACCCTTCTCCCCCCCCCCCCCCTTCCCCCCCCTGTACTCCTAATGCACTGAACGTTAGTTTGCCCCAGTTTTCTTCACTATAGCACAGGCGGCGCAAGGAAGTTACACCTTTAGATGAATTCATGCTCGGCTGCCGATGTACTACCCCATGTGCCCCGTGCAGGAACCTGGGTGCCAAAGGGCTCAATGGCAGCATACCGGCCAGCATTGGCAACCTCTCTCAGCTGACCAAACTGTGAGTGCGAGGCCATATGCTGTGTGTGTGTAACCACATGTGCACGTGCGGGTGTGCGGTTGGGCTGGGTGCATGGCTTGCAGGCAGCATAGCTGCTGGATGGCCGGGTTCCCTACTCCAACCACATCCTGCCGCACTCCAACCTCCTCCTGCCTTATTCCAAGCGTCCATTTCTGCCCTGCTCCCCATCCCCTCCCTTCTCTCCTCCTCCATCCCCCCTACCACCCCTGCACAGGTTGTTAAATATGAATCAGCTTACAGGACCCCTCCCACCATCCTTCGTCAACCCTACTGCTCTGATTGAAATGTGAGGAGGCAAGAGGAGGTGTTGGGGTCCGCTTGGGGTGAGGATCGTGAGGTTGGGATTAGGTTGGGGGAAAGTTGCTGTTGGGCTAAGGCTAGATTGGGGGGCGTTCACCTGATTAGAAAATTCGGAGGGAAAAGGTAGGAGAGGGATGTGTGGGACGGAAGTAGGGGAATCTACAGGAGTCACTATATATAATGGGCCAATGTGTGTTGCACTGTGAGGTACCGTTGAGCATCACTCAACAACTATAGACGTGATAAGGTTGTTAAGTTAAGGATTTCAACCATAGCTAATGAGAGAAGGAGTTGTTTTATTAGAAAAGGTGTCGAGATACATTTGAAGAAGATAGTTGGAAACCCTAATTGAACTTGAACTGAACTCTTCAAATGTAACTTGCTCTAAACATGGTGAAACAACAAAATACCAGAGCCAGCTCTGGCCTACTCCAAGACAAGGTGAAGCTCTGGAATGGAACACCTAGTGTACCGGAACCACCCCTGAAGTGGCGAGACAAGTGAATCCAAGGGCAAGCACGTAGGAACGGTGCGGCTCACAAAAGAAGTCGAGATGATAGGAAACAGAAATTTCGAGCAGGTGAAAAGTGAGGCGCCGGAGGCCTAAGGGCCTAAACTTCGCTAAGGAATGTAGATAAGGAGAAATTCCCTAGGATTAGGTTCTGTATACCATGTTAAGGTAATGATTGCAGCCATGGCTAGTGTTGAAATACATTGGAAGAAGAGATTTGGAAAACCCTAATTGAAGTTAGGGCGTGTTCAGTTTGAGTTAAGAACTATAAAATGAACCTAAACTGAACCCTAAAGTGCAACTCGCTCTAAACATGGCAAAAATAACAAAATAACACCATGACAAATACCAGAGCAAGCTCTAGCATTTCCACCAAAGATTGTTCAATAGATGATTGTTGGAAATAGGCTACACTTTGTGTGTTAGCCTTAACAATTTTAGGGAGGGGGAGAAGGTGGGTAGATGCAGAAACAAGGAAATTGGAGCTGTAA